AGAGGATGTGATGGTGAGGGAATAGTTCGAAGGATATGATGAGCGGGGTAATCCGGGTCTTTGGCTGTACAGGAGCTGGAATGCAGGCAGGAGGAGCACACACCTCAGCAATCCGGGAACTAGTAGGAACAGGAGACACTTGGAGACGAGGAGACACCAGGAGGAACACAGGAGGTAAGTAATGCAGGAAGTATTCAAATGGAAGTAGTAGCAAAGTCATTGAGTCCTCTACGTGTATACGAGACCGGACAATGAGGGTGTCTGAGGTGTGTGCTTTTATGCAGGCTGGTTGATGAGTTGCTTGATTAGTGACAGGTGCAGGTGCTCAGAACTCAGGTGAGAGGGATCGTTGTGATTGGGTGGTGATGGAGCCTGGCCGATCTGTTACAAATATATTCAAATAGAAAGATCATTTTTATTGTAAAAAATAGATCAAAATTGCTTTATGTAATTTTCTGTATTTATATGCTACTTAAATATGTTAGTTTCTTTATTATTTCAATTTTATTCATTTACTTCTGTGTTTGTCTTATATGAAAATGCAATGGTATGCCATTCACATTCAAGCATCTGTTTCTACTAAATCTTGCCTGCATGTATGATGCAAAAGTATCCAAAGAAATCCTCTTTGTGTGTGTTGCAACATTTCTACAGGAAGCAGACATCGCTGTGGCACCTCTAACTGTTACAGCTAAACGTGAGACAGCTGTGGACATGACCATACCCTTCATGCAGACGGGTCTTAGTTTCATCCTTAGGAAAGACTTAGCTTCTGATGACTCGCAGTTCCTCAGCCTTCTGAACCTGTTCTCCACTGAAGTGTGGATGGGTGTACTGGTCGCCTACCTGCTGACCTCCATCTGCATCTTCTTAGTGTCGCGGTAAGGGTGGGATCGTAAAATCAAGGCACTTTAAAATGTAGGATGGTATTTACATGCTATTCAAAGGTATTTTAAATAATTAAATTGATATTCAAAAAAATTGCCAAACCAAATTACTTTTTTTTTTTTCAGGATTAGCCCGTGTGAATGGGAGCAACCAGACACAGAAAATAATTTGTTCACGCTCTCACACAGTTTTTGGTATACCGTAGGTGCCCTGACTCTTCAAGGTAGCGTATAATAATCATGTTTGTGAGTATTTACACCCACGCAGGCTTTAGAATGAAAGGAACATCAAAACAACTTAGCGAATGTTCACCTAGTATAGCATACTTGTGATGCGGAGCAATCGAACACAAGTCCCATGAAAAATGAGTCACAATAAATAAACAAGCTAAATGGTATGGTTGCGTCATCAGATCTCACGTTTGAGAGGGGTCTGTGATGATATTACCTGCCCGTTTCTTCACTCTGGAGTTGTACAAGTCCACTGCGTGGTACGACTCGGCTCGGCTCGGCATGGCTCAGTAAGGCACGGCACGGCTCGGTTTGCGTTTCCACTGCAGTTTAGTATCGCTTTAGAGTGGGCGGGATTATTCACATGTCGTTATAGTTGCACCGCCTCTACTCCTGAAAAACTTTTTCATTCCGTGTCGCCCCATCATGCTCTCGCTGGATCTGCTCCTCTGCTATCAATGAGAGGAACGTCTGTACTTCCTCAACAGACAAAGAAACAGCCACTTTTTGGCTGCTAAAAAAGGTGCGCTCGTTCAAAACAGTTGCGGTCGATCCTTTACTGGCTGTGCTGATTTAAATCTAGCGGTTCTGTTGTGTTTGTGTCAGTTCAGTTCAGTTCAGTGACGTAGTTAGTGACGATTCTCTCCGGCCAATCAGTGATCAGCAGAGTTTACATGTCACGTTTTGCTAACGGTAAGGTTCACTTGGAACCTCAACCGAGGTGGTACTAAAAGAAGTACCAGGTACCAGGTACTGTACCCAGTGAAAAACCTCCCAAATGTGAACCGTACCGAGCCGTACCATGCAGTGGAAAAGCGCCATATGTGAGTGTCCCACTTCAGGTCTTGAGAGATGGTGGTGCCCAGGAACCTGAATGACTGCCACAGTGCTGTTCATGATGGTTAGAGGGGGGACTGCAGGGGAGTTTCTCCTAAAGTCCACAATTATCTCCACTGTTTTGAGTATGTTGAGCTCCAGGTTATTGTGACTGCACCAGACAGCTAGCTGCTCAACCTCTTGTTTATAAGCAGACTCCTCACCATCCTGGATGAGACCGATGACTGTGGTGTCATCTGCAAACTTCAGGAGCTTGACAGAGGGGTTTTTAGAGGTGCAGTCATTTGTGTGGAGGGAGAAGAGAAATGGGGAGAGCACGCACCCCTGAGGAGCTCCAGTGCTGATGGTGCAGGTGTTGGATGTGAGTTTTCAGCCTCACTGTCTGTCAGGAAGCTGCTGATCCACTGACAGATGGAGGTGGGCACCGACAGCTGTGTCAGTTTAATCAGGATGATATCTAGGATGATGGTGTTAAAAGCGGAGCTGAAGTCAACAAAGAGCATCCTTCCATAAGTCCCTGGTTTGTCCAGATGTTGGAGGATGTAGTGCAGTCCTATGCTGACTGCATCATCCACAGACCTGTTTGCTCGGTAAGCAAACTGCAGAGGGTCCAACAAGGGTCCAGTAATGTCCTTCAAGTAGGCCAACACCAGTCTCTCAAATAACTTCATGACCACAGACGTTAAAGCAACAGGTCCGTAGTCATTTAGTCCAGTGATTTTTTTTCCTTGTGAAGATGGATGGCAGCTGGACAGCACAGGCTTTGAGGCAGGCTGGAGAGACACTGTCTGGGCCTTTGGCTTTCCTTATCTTCTGTTTCCTGAAGACTTTGCGTACATTGTCTTCACAGATCTTAAGTGCAGGCTGAGAAGCAGTGGAGGGGGGAGGGTGTTGATGGCTCTGTTGTGAGATGGTCGGAGCAGGTGTGGGGTGTGAGACCAGGCTTTTTAAACCTGCAGTAAAACTCATTCAAACAATCAGCTAAAAGTTGATTCTCCACAGTGCTGGGGGATGGGGTCTTGTAGCTAGTGATGCTTTCAGGCCATTCCACACTAATGTAGGGTTGCTGCCTGCAAACTGTTTTTTCAGCTTTTCAGAGAAGCTTCTCTTAGCTACTCATATCTACCTGTGTGAGACCAGGCTTTTCAAACCTGCAGTAAAACTCATTCAAACCATCAGCTAAAAGTTGATTCTCCACAGTGCTGGGGGATGGGGTCTTGTAGCTAGTGATGCTTTCAGGCCATTCCACACTAATGTAGAGTTGCTGCCTATAAACAGTTTTTCAGCTTTTCAGAGAAGCTTCTCTTAGCTACTCTTATCTACCTATTCAGTGTGCATTTGGCCTGTTTGTACAAGGCTTTGTCTCCACTCCTGTAGGCATCCTTTTTGGCCTGGCGAAGCTGTTTGAGTTTTGCACTGAACCAAGGTTTCACCAAGGAACACACTTGTCCTCACAGAAACTGATGTAGGATGTCACGGTGTCAGTGAGCTCATCCAGATCAGTGGCTGCAGCCTCAAAAACACTCCAATCAGTGCAGTCGAAGCAGGCTTGTAAATTCCGCACTGCTTCATTAGTCCATCTCTTTACAGATCTCACTACAGGCTTAGCAGATTTAAGTTTCTGCTTGTAGGCTGGTAGAAGATGAACCAAACAGTGATCAGAGAGTCTCAAAGCTGCTCGGGGCACAGAGTGGTATGCATCCTTTAAAACTGTGTAACAATGGTCCAGTATATTGTTGTCCCTGGTGGGGCATGTGATGTGCTGTCTATATGCAGGCAGTTCACGGGTGAGATTAGCTTTATTAAAATCACAGACGATGATAATGAAAGAGTCCGGATAATGCTGCTCTGTGTGTGTGATCTGATCAGCCAGCTGGTCATGCGCCGCACTCACCAGAATAAACAAGGAAAACTCTAATAAAAAGGCTTACGGTTAATAAAGAGGGCTTCCAAATTTGGGCAGCACATCTTCTTTAAAACTGACACGCCAGCCTTCACTGATATAAAAACCACAATCCACCATCTCTCGTTTTCCCCGACAACTTGATGACACGATCCGCTCTGAACAGCTGGAAGCCCGTTAGATGAGGCGTGCTGTCCGGGATGGCTCTGTTCAAACACGATAGAGCATTCATTTTTAGCACCACTCACCTGACTTTTTTAATTTCTGAACTGCAGTGATTTTGCAATCAAAAAAAGACAATCTTTTGTTGATCCTGGAACACCATTATTGTCCAAAACCATAGACCTACCTAACCCTACCCATAATTTATTATTCATTATAATTTATCCCTAAAATCAGAGGGAAATTAGTTGAATAACAAGGGTGTAGAAACATCTAACCCTGGTTGTAAGCCTAAAACTGACATTTCCTGTAAACTTTTCCCTCAACTCTGATTGGTTGATTGGAATGTTGATCCAGGAAGATGCTGTACTTGGTGAAATCCCATTCACCCATGATATGTACAACAACAAAGGTCAAAAACTTCGTCATGTTTATATGTCTGAGAAAAAATTTAACATGCTTTTAGCGCCACTCCATGGACATTTCACTTTGAAAGTGTCACAAAACATGCAAAAAAAACAATGTAATATTATTTTGCTGAAATGTTGCCATGTTTTTCCAATGAACCTGGTTTGCTAAATTACCTTAAAAATACAAACAAATCTGCAGTGACTTGTAATTTATTAAAAATTTTAAGTTCATTATAAATTTTGCCATAGGTGCTGGTCCTCACCCCAAGGCTCTTTCGGGACGGGTCATTACCTCTATCTGGTGGCTGTTTTCATTAGTGCTGCTTGCATGTTACTTCGCCAACCTCAGTTTATGGCTGCATTCAGACAACCAGCAACAGTCAATCAAGAGCTTTGAAGACCTCGCTAATCAAAACTTGATTGAGTATGGCACCATTAAAGATTCTTCCTCTTTTGCCTTCTTCAAGGTAAGACACAGAATTTTGTTAATACAATCAAAAGATTAATTTAAAGGCACAATATTTAAGCTTTTTTTAATAAAATATCTAAAAACCACTAGAACAGTGTTATATATTTTGCTGACTTGTGTACTTACATTATCCCAAATGTTTCGAAGAATGTTTAAATCCAGAGAAATAAGCAATTTTAACTAGTGACACGGACCGTGTCCATAGTGTCATTGTGTCGCCTGCCAATGATGCCATAACCCCTCAATTTCCATTTTGTTTTGTAGAAAACATGGAAACACCAAAGACGCTTTAATATGTTGTGCGTTTTAATAGACCGGTGACAACCACACAGAGTAGCATTATAACAGAACTTTCAAATGTATCTAGTATGATAAAACAGCGCTGCTTTACCCCACATATGCACGACCAGAAGGAGCGGAAGCAGTCGACTGTGGCATAATAAAAGCTCCGCTGCTTTCGAGCCGTGTGTCACGCTCGTTCAGTGGCCTCATTTCACTTCGACGGCTTTCAGCCTCACCCTGCTTCATTCTACTAAGTTAATAAATCATTAGCTCATCCAAGAACATTATTTCTGCCCGAGTCCCGTCGGATTGCATCGGCTGTGGGGATGAAGACCACAACTCCCATGACTCCACACTCAGTCATGGCGTCATCAAACTATGCCTTTGTCTATTTGTTTATTTTGAATGTGCGCCCTCTTGCGGTGAAAATTACATGTTGTGCCTTTAATTAAAATATTGTTATTAAAACTGGCATGATATCGAAAGACAAAAAAAAAAGTTTCTTCAAGAGTTTATTTGAAGGGTTTGTCAAAAAGTGAACAGTCTTTATGCACTTGTTGAAGCTTGAAAAAGTTAACTATGTAGACTTTTTTAATTTATGGACTTTTTTTGTATAGACAAAAAAGTCATTTTCTATCTATTAACAACTATATAAGTAATGCAACTTCAAGTCTACATTTTGTGCAAACTAATCTAGATCTGAATCTTGAATCATTTAATGTCAGTTGGTTATGCACCCACATGAGAGCATCTGTCAACTATAATTTACTCTTGTCTGCCTTTGACCAGAACTCAAACAACCCCACTTACCACAGAATCTATGAGCACATCAAGAATGCCCAGAGCTATTCACTCAATGCAGAAGAAGGGATCCGCAAGGCTCAGAAAGGCAACTATGCTTTCATCGGCGAATCTGTGTCCCTTGACCTGGCAGTGGCGAGATACTGTAACCTCACACGCGCCCCAGAAATCATCGGCATGAGGGGATACAGCATCGCTGCTCCTTTAGGTAAGTCTCAAAATACACATTTTTAGATAAAGTACCATGATGATTTATGGTTTTATGTCTAATTTTATTAACACTGACTACCATGCATGTACCATGTAAACATAGTGTACCATTCATGTAAACATGGTACATGAATATTGTAATATATGATATAGCATAGTACCACCACAGTACTTCCTGAAAGGATGGTACCATCATAGTCTCACCAGCTATGTATGTGTTTGTTCATGTCCTCAGGCTCTCCTTTGGTGAAAAACCTAAGTGTTGCCATTCTGCATCTGAGCGAGTCTGGTGAGCTGGATTATTTCCGCAGTAAGTGGTGGGCCAGCAGTTGTATGGCAAAAAATGGCAAGAGTGCTCCACTGAAGCCCACCAGTCTGAAGGGAATCTTCTTATTACTGGCACTCGGTCTGGGACTGGGGCTTTTCTTGGCTCTAATGGAACTGGCCGCCAAATCACGCAAAATCGCTAACACTCAGCAGGTGAATCCAATATACGGATGTAGGGTCCATTTTCCATCTATCTATATATCCATCATCTTTCTTTCATGTGTGTGTGTGTGTGTGTGTGTGTGTGTGTGTGTGTGTGTATGTATGTGTGTACATCTATATAAAGTCAAATTTTTGGAAGAGTTTAAAATATTAATATAATTTTAAATAACTGTTTTCTATTTGAATATATTGTAATTGTAATTTTACATTTAATTTAATGTAATTTATTATAATTTATTGATCAAAATGTATTTTATTAATCAAAGCTGAATGTCCAGCATCATTACTCCAGTCTTCAGTGTCACATGATTCTTCAGAAATCATACTAATATGCTGATTTGCTGCTCAAGAAACATTTATTATTGCTATAAATATGGTTTTTGCTCTTTAATATTTTGTGGAAAATTATACATACCATTCAAACATTTTTGGGTCAATAAGATTAAAAAAAATAATAATACTTTTATTCAGTAAGGACGCATTAAATTGATCAGCTAGGATCATTTAAATTGACTAAACACATTTAAAATGTTAAAAAACAATTCTACTTAAAATAAATGCTGTTCTATTTAACTTTCTGTTTATCAAAGCATCCTTAAAACACTCAAACACACACACACACACACACACACACACACATACTTTATTGTGGTATCCACAGTTTATTAAGCAGCACAACCATTTTCAAAGTTTCTTGAGCACCAGCATATTAGAATGATTTCTCACTGGAATAAATAATAGAAAAGAAAAAAATATATACCAACCAAATAACCATTTTCAATTTTTATATATATATATATATATATAGGTGTTGTGTGTGTGTGTGTATATATATATATATATATGTAAGAGTTGGGGTGCGGAGAAGCCTCAAGGCATAGGAACCTGAGTTCTAAATCCAGCCGCAGGGAGCGACAGGGAGATGTCCCTGTCTGCTGCCCCACCACCCTGAGATGTTCTGGGACTAAAGGGGTGAAACATCGGTGAAGGGTGGCTCCCAGCTGATGACCCTGCGGCTGATAATTTGGTACTGGCGGAGGTACGTCAGGCAGCAATGCCCAGCAGGTCTTACCATCAACCTGTTGCTAATTATATTTTCTGGGAAACCAGTGACTGCTGAGAGCAGTGCAGCTGGATTCCAGGGAAGACTGGAGGATTGTCAGGAAAGACTGACTAACAGCGGGGAAGACCGCAAGTGGGGTGGGCAGTCTAGTTACCCTTCCTGCAGGCCTGGCTTTAGGCCAACCCAAGCTAACTATGAGTTCAGTTAAGAGTCAACAGCCCAGTGGCCCTCCGAGAGGTGGGCTGGAAGAAGGGTCAACAAGGAGAGAACACACATATTGAACGGAATGGATACGAAGATTTCTAGGTCATGCAGTTGTGGCTGGACTAAGGTTACATCTCGTAGAGGTTTGAGGATCCATCAAGGGAAAATGAAGTGTTCCCGGGATAGCCCGAGGCAACCTTGCACTGCACTCGCAGATGAGACAAAAAGGGCACAGAGCCAGGTTGAGCACCACAGTGCTAATGAGCCCAATGTGGCCGACGGTTATAGTACATCAGAACCTCAAAACACAATTTGCCTGGTGAGTTCCAAAACCTCAGAAAGGACACCCGTAAGAGAAGATGGAAGGAAAGAAGGAGAACCAGAAAGGAAGAAGCCAATTCTGTGGCCAAAGACCAAGAACGAAGCAGCATGGAGTAAGCTGGATGATGACTTGGAAAGAATGCTCATAAACAATCTCAAAGGGAATGAAAAGAGCAACATTAGTCTATTTTGCGAGACTATCTACAACAAATACATCCAGAGAGTTGGCGAAGCAAGGAGTAAGACGCCCAAGCCCAAAGCTATGAGCAGAAGGGAAAGGGAAATTCTGCAGCTTGTGAAAGAGCGAAAAACTCTGCGAAAAGCTTTCAGAAAGGCAGCAGAATATGAGAAGGAAGGTCTTAAAGTTCTGTGAAATCAAATTAAGAGTCAGTTGGCTTCACTTAGAAGGGCAGAGCGCATTAGAAAGCGGAGGAGGATGAAAGAGAGCCAACATTCAAGATTCCTAAAAGACCCTTTCAAGGTTGCAAGAGACTTGCTCGAAGAGAAGAAGAGTGGTTCATTGGCAATGGAAAAAGAAGACCTTGAGGAGTATATAAGAAAACAATTTACTAGCACAAGCAGTCAGCATCCCCTTGGGTCTCCCGGTCATGTCCCACAACCAGCTTTTCCAACCACACATTTTGAGGTAGCACCACCCAGACTGAGCGAGGTAATTGAGATAGTTAGAAAGGCAAGATCGAGCTCTGCCCCTGAGCCAAATGGCATCCCTTATAAGCTTTACAAAAGGTGCCCTTAAGTCCTGAAACATCTATGGAAGCTTATGAGGGTAATCTGGAAGCAACAGCGGGTTCCGTCCGAGTAGTGTAGAGCAGTGGCCATCTTAATCCCAAAGGAAAGGGATTCATCCGTTATCAGTCAGTTTAGGAGCATTTCACTCTTGAAAGTGGAAGGAAAGCTTTTCTTCTCAGTGATTGCCAAGCGTCTGACCAAGTTCCTCCTCTGTAACAATTACATTGATACAAGTTGTCAGAAGGCAGGTGTCCCAGGTTTCTCAGGGTGTTCAGAGTATGCAACATTAATCTGGGACCAGATCCAGTCCACAAAAAAGGACAAGAAGGATCTTCATGTTGTGTGGCTGGATTTGGAGAACACCTATGGCTCTGTCCCACATCAGTTGATTGATTTTGCCCTGGACTTCTTCTATGTGCCTATAGGTGTTATAAACATCATTCAAAGCTATTTTGCAAATTTGAAGGTCTGCCATTCATTATGGGACTACACAACCAGCTGGCAGAAACTTGGCAGGGGAATAGCTATGGGGTGTTCAATATCCCCCATTCTATTCACAGCAGCCTTTGAGTTAATCTTGATTGGAGCAAGGTCCATGGCGATGGGAGCACAAAATAGTGCAGGACTTCGATTGCCTCCCCTTCGATGCTTCATGGACGACATCACAATCCTGCTCCAGACAGCGGCTCATCAAGAGGCTGGAGGAGCTGCTGAGCTGGGCTGGAATAAGAATCAAGACGGCCAAGTCTTGCAGTCTCTCAGTCTGCAAGGGCAGACAAGTGGATACAATTTCTTTCCAGGTGGCAGGGGAGAGAATCCCAGTGCTCTCCGAGCAACCAATAAGGAGATTGGGCAGAGAGTACTCAGCTGAGCTCACAGACAAGCACATGGCAACTACAATAATAACTCAGCTGAAAGATGGCCTTAAGAGAATTGACCAGAGCTACCTTCCTGGCAAATACAAACTTTGGTGCTATCAGTTTACTCTTTACCAACGTGTGATGTGGCCGCTGAAGATGTGTGAAATAATAGCAACAACAGTGGCAAAGCTGGATCTAAGCTATATCCGTAAGTGGCTTGGTCTGCCGTGATGCTTTTCAGATTCAGCACTGTTCGGAATAAATGCTCTTCAGCTTCCAATAAAGAGCATCTCACTTGGGTACAGGCTGGAGAAGACCAGGCTTGTACTCAAGCTTAGACAATCAAGTGACTATTTTGTCCGAAACGCTGGTGCCAATGTTCAGACCGGTAGGAAGTGGAAGGCAGAGGAATGTGTCGACAACGCCATTGCCAACCTGAAGCACCAAGAGGTGGTTGGAAAAACCCAGGAGGGAAGACAGGGTCTTGGCTGGGGTGAGCCATGTAAATTCTGGTCAAAGGCATCATCAAAGGAGCGAAAAAAATCTAGTGGTCACAGAAGTGATGAGATTGGAAGAGGAAAGACTTCTTGTGAAACCTGTTGGTCAAGGCCAACAAGGCCAGTGGACCAAAGTGGGCTGACATCTTACCAAGGTAACCAACTTTGGAGAATTCCCCAAGCCAGGTTAAGTTTCATTATTAGATCAACTTATGACACACTTCCCAGCCCAGTTAACCTGGCATGGTGGTTTGGGGCAGAAATCTGCAGCTTGTGCAATGCAGCTCAGGGCACCCTCCACCATATTTTGTGCGGGTGTAAAATTGCTTTGGCTCAGGGTTGCTACAGGTGGCGTCATGACCAGGTGCTATGGAAGCTGGCAGAATACACAGAAAGAGAAAGGATTATGGCAGCCGGGAGGCATCAGAGCCTTAAGAGTCAGCCTGTCCAATTTGTAACAGCAGGTCAGGTAGTGCAGAAATGCCTTTCTAAGCACAGGACTTCAATCCTGGCTAGTGGAAGTGACTGGTCATTACGAGTAGACCTGGACAGGCGGCTGCAATTCCCCGCTTCTATTGCGCAAACCCAACTGAGACCGGACCTTGTGGCATGGTCCGAAATGAGCAAACAGGTGATGCTAGAGGAGCTGACAGTGCCTTGGGAGGGTGCAGTTCACGAGGCATACGAGCGAAAAAAGTCACGGTATGCAGGCTTGGTAGTAGAATGCCAGGGAAATGGATGGAGAGCAACGACTTACCCAGTGGAGATAGGCTGCCGTGGCTTTGTGGCCCAGTCAACCAGCCGCTTCCTGAGAGACATCGGTTTCAGCTCTGGCGAGGTGAGGAAGGCTGTAAAAGGCCTTGCTGAAGAGGCAGAGAAAGGAAGCTTTTGGCTTTGGCTGAGGAGGAATGATAAGAGTTGGGGTGTGGAGAAGCCTCAAGGCATAGGAACCTGAGATCTAAATCCAGCCGCAGGGAGCAACAGGGAGACGTCCCTGTCTGCTGCCCCACCACCCTGAGATGTTCTGGGACTAAAGGGGTGAAACATTGGTGAAGGGTGGCTCCCAGCTGATGACCCTGCGGCTGGTTATTTGGCACTGGCGGAGGTGTGTCAGGCAGCAATGCCCAGCAGGTCTTACCATCAACCTGTTGCTAATTATATACATATATATATATACATATATTTGTAACAACGTTTGTAGTTCGGGAAGAAGGAGGCGGGAACCGGCAAACATTTAAAGACTTTAATAAAATAAACAAACACAAAATGAAAGTAAAGCGGCAGCCCCTCGCGGACGACTGCCGCACACAAAACACAAAATAAAATCCAGGCCTGGTCCTCTCTCGTCCAACACTGTCGTCACTCCTCCTTTTATCCTTCCGGAGCTCCTCCGTCGCTCCGTTCCCGCGGCTCTCGGCCCCGCCCCTCTCGTCACATACCCCCATCACCCCTCACAGGCCGGGGGGTACTCACGAGACTGCGCTCTACTCCCCCCTCCCCCCTATGGGGGAGCCGATCACGGCGGTCACGGTATACCTGGAGGTAAGGACAGACAGACGAGGCGAGAGAAAAGGAGACGGAATGATGAGGAGAGACAGAGACGAGAGAGGGGAGAGAGGGAAAAAAAATCTTGTTCCGGTTCCCAGACACACTGCCCTCCACCAGCTGTGTAAACTCTTCCGCGATGCCAGGCGGCGGCACTGGATAGCCCTCGGTGGACGGCCCGACAGTCCTCCGCCGCCCGGTGGACGGCGACAGCTCCTCCGGGTTCGGGCAGCCGGCAGGAGTCCCCCGTTCCCTGCTCCTCCCCATCATGGCAGATGGCAGCAGGCTCTGGCATCTGGCGAACGGCGGCGACACCTCCTCTCCCTCACGGACGGCAGTCACCCCTCCACAGCCCAGGCGGCCGACAGCGAGTTCATCCGCCCCCCCGGCAACTCACTCCAGCCCACCGCATCGAGCCTCCATGGCTGCAGACTGCTCCGCCATGCTCGATGGCACCGCGGACTCACCACAGCAGTGAGGTATCTCTGGCAGCGTGTCCCTCCTTCCTCCCGGGTTTCGGCACCAATGTAACAACATTCGCAGGTCGGGAAGAAGGAGGCGGGAACCGGCAAATATTAAAACCATGAGGGATGGGGGGCCTGGTCCCGTACACCACTGATTCGGAGAAAATAAACAGTATTACCCAAAAGTTTGAGAATGCCCTAAATTCTGAACAAACTGAGATATTCAACCTCATTTCTAGATTACTAAAATCAGCACTTTTGCTGTTTTAATAGCAGAACAATGTGTGCCATGAGTAAAACTGTGATATTACTAAAATGATGCATGCAAAATTTCTCCCATGACTAACTATATATACACAGTACCTTGAGAAAAACCCAATTCCTCATTTTGGGTGTCATTGTTTTATTGTAGAGAATTTTCTCAACCGAAATAAAAAGCTAAAATATGCTGTTTGCATATTTAATACTTGTTTACCGTATTAATTTTTGTTTATTAATAATGGCACCTTTAATCACTGCAGACTGCTCCGCCATGCTCGATGGCACCGCGGACTCACCACAGCAGTGAGGTATCTCTGGCAGCGTGTCCCTCCTTCCTCCCGGGTTTCGGCACCAATGTAACAACATTCGCAGGTCGGGAAGAAGGAGGCGGGAACCGGCAAATATTTTAAGACTTTAATAAAATAAACAAACACAAAATGAAAGTAAAGCAGCAGCCCCTCGCGGACGACTGCCGCACACAAAACACAAAATAAAATCCAGGCCTGGTCCTCTCTCGTCCAACACTGTCATCACTCCTCCTTTTATCCTTCCGGAGCTCCTCCGTGGGACTCGAGACCGGTGAGTGGCGCAGGTGTTGCGCATTAGCATTTACTCCACCGGCCTCGCTCAGTTCCCATGGCTCTCGGCCCCGCCCCTCTCGTCACAATATTAAAATTGAAAATGGTTATTTTAGACTGTAATGATATTTCACTATATTGCTGTTTTATATTTATACAATATTTTTGATAAATAAAAGCAGCATTGGTGAAGAAATAAAAACATTTAAAAAAAAACGTTTGTATACTTTTCTTTTTTTCTTTTCTTTTTTAGTAATAAAAGCATAGCATAGTCTATCTGCCAAAGATTCAAACATTTAAGACAATGAAGGAAGATAAGTTTCATAAATCCATTTGAAAAATTAATTTAATAACTATAAATTATACTAAAGAAAAAAATACTAAAGAGTGCTTTGGTTTGTTTGAGTGCTTTGTTTTATGAAAATAGACCAATGTACTAAACTGACCTGAGTCAGTTACACATACACACACACACACACACACACACATGGTACACACATGGATTTTGAAAATGAAAATGACCTTGTTTCTTACAGAAATCCTGCTGCTCTGTGATGTCTGCTGAACTCAGTCAGCGCTTCAGAGGTGGAGAGCTGACTACACCGGAATCCTCTGAGAAAAACAAAGCCTAAAAAGCAAAGCCCCAACAAAGCACTGACACATATGCATTTAATCACTTAATGTTCATTATGTCCACAAAACAGTTATTAACTACTAACAAAACTGGGAGGGTGAAACTCATGAAAACATTTTATTTGTTGTGCATACTTTAAAACCATGAGGCCTTCCGGAGCTCCTCCGTGGGACTCGAGACCGGTGAGTGGCGCAGGTGTTGCGCATTAGCATTTACTCCACCGGCCTCGCTCAGTTCCCATGGCTCTCGGCCCCGCCCCTCTCGTCACAATATTAAAATTGAAAATGGTTATTTTAGACTGTAATGATATTTCACTATATTGCTGTTTTATATTTATACAATATTTTTGATAAATAAAAGCAGCATTGGTGAAGAAATAAAAACATTTAAAAAAAAACGTTTGTATACTTTTCTTTTTTTCTTTTCTTTTTTAGTAATAAAAGCATAGCATAGTCTATCTGCCAAAGATTCAAACATTTAAGACAATGAAGGAAGATAAGTTTCATAAATCCATTTGAAAAATTAATTTAATAACTATAAATTATACTAAAGAAAAAAATACTAAAGAGTGCTTTGGTTTGTTTGAGTGCTTTGTTTTATGAAAATAGACCAATGTACTAAACTGACCTGAGTCAGTTACACATACACACACACACACACACACACACATGGTACACACATGGATTTTGAAAATGAAAATGACCTTGTTTCTTACAGAAATCCTGCTGCTCTGTGATGTCTGCTGAACTCAGTCAGCGCTTCAGAGGTGGAGAGCTGACTACACCGGAATCCTCTGAGAAAAACAAAGCCTAAAAAGCAAAGCCCCAACAAAGCACTGACACATATGCATTTAATCACTTAATGTTCATTATGTCCACAAAACAGTTATTAACTACTAACAAAACTGGGAGGGTGAAACTCATGAAAACATTTTATTTGTTGTGCATACTTTAAAACCATGAGGGATGGGGGGCCTGGTCCCGTACACCACTGATTCGGAGAAAATAAACAGTATTACCCAAAAGTTTGAGAATGCCCTAAATTCTGAACAAACTGAGATATTCAACCTCATTTCTAGATTACTAAAATCAGCACTTTTGCTGTTTTAATAGCAGAACAATGTGTGCCATGAGTAAAACTGTGATATTACTAAAATGATGCATGCAAAATTTCTCCCATGACTAACTATATATACACAGTACCTTGAGAAAAACCCAATTCCTCATTTTGGGTGTCATTGTTTTATTGTAGAGAATTTTCTCAACCGAAATAAAAAGCTAAAATATGCTGTTTGCATATTTAATACTTGTTTACCGTATTAATTTTTGTTTATTAATAATGGCACCTTTAATCATTTTTTTAAGTATTCTACCTCTATCTGTTCTTAACAGATTTGCTCCATGTTTTTGGAGGGTTAGTGAGAGGACACTTCAAAACATGCCACAGATTCTCTATGAGATCAGATTTTGACCTGACCATTGCTATTCACCTTGTTATTCACCTGTTTTGTTTTTGAGCCACTCCAGTGTTTATTCAATGTTTGGGATCAACTTCTTTGCAAGCTTCAATTCTGTAGCCAAATTAAACAGGCTTTCTTGCAGTATTTCACTACATTTTGCATCATCCATTCTTCATTTCTAAAAAGAAAGTCCAGTTCCTCAAGAGGAACAGCATGCAGCTCCATAGCACGATGTTAGCACTGCAGTTCTGCACAGCTTTATTGGCCTCTTAGCTGCAAGAATAAGATTTACGGCACACATAATGCTTTGAATTTGAAGTAAAATGTTCTATCTTGGGACCACAAAATCTTTTCCCACACTGAACTAAATCACTGTTTTCTTGGCAAATTCACGTGGTTCTTTTTGAGTAATGGCATCTTTGTGCCAGCCTCTCATAGCAGTGTTGGTCGAGTGGGTCACCTATTGAATTCTGCAGCTCTTTCAAATGAACGTTGGCCTCTCTGTGGCTTCTCCCACAAGACTCCTTGATCAAGCAGAGAGAGCAGAGAGATGGCGTTTTTAGGACAACAGTGTCTCACAAAGACATTACAGCACTTAGATATTGTGCTGTACCAAATTTATGTATCAGCTTCATATTAACCCTGACTCTTGGAACGCTCTTTGGTCCTTATTTGCATGCTTTTTTTTTGCATGCTTGTTTAATTTCACAGAGGCCAATTGTAAAACTGCTGTATGCTTGATAAGCGTTTTTCATTACTGTACAACAGCTTCTGTAATGGTGGGGCTATACAGCAGAAATACAACATAATTTCCCCTTTTGGGTAAGAGTAATTTCTAGATACATTATTACAATTATTTTAATAAGACAATTATATCGTTGAAATATTTTGAGAGTTGCTGCAGTAACCTTATTAGAATACCAATGTGAGATTTATTTTGATATTTAAAAAAGTAAAACAAGATTTGTTTAAATTATTATTTTCAAAACAGACTGGATTAATTATTTCATTATTTTAAAACTCCCATAAAGGTTGGTAACAACAATAAGCTGAAAAGCAGCTGAGGGAAATACATTTTAACAACAGCAACAACAAAAACATATTACGCTTTGACTATTTTATCTTAATATCAACTTTATTCACACAGGATTTTGTGAGGAACTTGGCGAGAAACTTTACATCTATCACGTTTTATTGGGTTTATTTTGTATATTAATATTCTAAATATTTAAATTATATGCATTTAACATAAAAGTGTAATATGGCAATTTTCCATCATTTTATTTACTATATATGTATGTTCAAAACAAAAATAAAGCGTTTATATTTTATAAGTAGTTTTTTTATATATATTTGGAGTGAATTCGGCGACTAGACGGAAAGCGGAAGTAGGGGTTCGTCCGCGCTTCCGGTGTGGCTGATGATGTTCGGTTGGTTTACCTCAGCACTCATGACTGTCGCTTTGTGCTGTTCTCATGCTTATGGACTGTGTTTTTACCAGCAAATACGTTTAGGAAATCAGCAGGTCACAGATGAGAGATTTCTTTGAGGGTCTACTTGTAAGTACCCGCGTGCGACGGTGCGCTATCATGAATTGAAATGCTAATGTTCTTCATAACAATGCGGTTTGCTGTGAGCGGCCCGTCAGCACAGGCCGAGCAGACATGAACTCAGCTGATGGTCTCCGACAATCATCCGCACATACCGATCATCATCTGTAATAATGCGGAGGAAGGCGCTTCAGTGTTTGACAGTATGAAGCTCAGCTGATTGAGCAGGAGAACGAAGATGTGCTAACATGATAAAGTCACCTGGTGTTATTGTTTTTATTAGTATGACTAGCATGATTCACTGCTGGGTACACGAGAGATCTGTTATGTAGGACGCATGATTCATAAGCGATCATATAAACATAACTAAGTTAAAGAGTGTAATGTTGTCATTGACTTGACTTCCCGTCATCCAGGTTCAGTAGCAGCACGGCTAACTGTTAGCGCTGACAGCACACACAAATAACCGGTGTTCATCAGCTGAGTCTGCCTCCAGTCATCTACAACATAATCACATAAAGCTCGGTTTAAAACGCCTCGTTCCTCACTAAAGCCCAAAGTAGATCAGACCTTATGAAAGTAACTGTAACCGCAGCACTGTAGTGAATAATGAATTTCAGCAGGGGTTCCCCAAACATTTCTGACAGCTGAAACCCTCAAACATAGATTTTTATATATTTTTAAGTTGAAATACCCCCTGAGATTTTAGTCTAATGATCACATGACATGCGAGTAAACCGATAAAATGGCTTATCTTTTATTAGTTTTCTTACAAGTGTTATATTTGGATTTGCATATATATATTTTTGTTATACACGTATGCACATATATTGCAATTTTGAAATGTGATATTACATTGATAGTGATGTGATTTGATTTGAAAATGCTTCATATTGGTACTACTTATACATCCAAACACAAGGACTCTACTGTCAATGGGAGTAGTTTCTTTTAAAGCTGCGGTCATATTTAAGCGAAATTACGTTGATGAAAAGGTCCATTGCCAATAGCGTATCGATGTCTGAAGCATTGCTCACACGTAAGTTACTTTCTTGTTGAAATGACTAGATTTCACAGAGCCACTGTGTATACAGTACAAATATTGATGTCTTTAATCCTTAATCAGCCTGACCAGTGCTCATAGCTGGGTCACTGGGTTTATATTTGATGATATTGGGACCAGCTGTTGTTAAATGTTGTCTGTATTCTGTAATACAGATATTAAGAGCTGCTAGCTGTACAAATCTGATCCTCATGTGTCTTTAGTATTGAGATGAGATGGCAATTCAACAATAAAAGCTCAGTGCATTGTTTTCACTGAGCAACACTTTATTTCTAAATAAGAAGAGAGCGTTACAGTCGGAAACCTTGTGTGTTTTGTCTTCTACAAGCAGGTTTGTCAAATGTAGTTTTTCTAGGCAATTTCCACCCTCTCTCTTACTCTTACAGCTAATGACTAGATTTCACAGAGCCACTGTGTATACAGTACAAATATTGATGTCTTTAATCCTTAATCAGCCTGACCAGTGCTCATAGCTGGGTCACTGGGTTTATATTTGATGATATTGGGACCAGCTGTTGTTAAATGTTGTCTGTATTCTGTAATACAGATATTAAGAGCTGCTAGCTGTACAAATCTGATCCTCATGTGTCTTTAGTATTGAGATGAGATGGCAATTCAACAATAAAAGCTCAGTGCATTGTTTTCACTGAGCAACACTTTATTTCTAAATAAGAAGAGAGAGTTACAGTCGGAAACGTTGTGTGTTTTGTCTTCTACAAGCAGGTTTGTCAAATGTAGTTTTTCTAGGCAATTTCCACCCTCAATTTCCAAAACAGTCTGTTTTAGCTTCTGTACCTTTTAGACGCTTCTGATTTGTATACATCTTGTATCTAGTCTATTAGCAACGATGCTAGCAGGTTGTGGGTCCAGTTTAGTTTTTACTAGAGGTCGACCGATAGTGGATTTTGCCGATACCGATAGCTAGGTTGGACCACACTGGCCGATACCGATTAATTAACCGATAGTTTTTAAAATGGATACTGAACAAAAACTAAAATAGTGCTTTATTAAAAAAAACAGTACTGAACCATACTAGTAGTAGTAGTAATAATAATAATAAAAATGTTGAA